AGTGATATATCTGTAAGAGATCTCTACCTTCATCCAACCATTGAATCTCTATCGGAATTCATCATATCCAAAGCCTCTTCAACCCAGTCAGATCACGTGACAATCCACATCCCTACTGCACCAAGAATTGGAAAGCCACACTTCTATCTTTGTGGTATACTTCAAGGTTTATGGCTTCTTCTGATGCTAACCACTTACACCACCTTTCTGATGTTCCTGTTTTTAACGTTCCTCGACGTATACGAGCTCATCTACACGACTATTGGCATCCAAGGAATCACGTGGCTGTTGCTATGTCTTCTGTTGCTATCAATACCGCTGTACATCGCCTACACTATGTTGGTGGCCTTCATTATCAAGAAGATTTTTCTTGGTAGCGTGGAGCCTGGGATCTATGCGCTGTGGAGCATGTATTATCTGAGATGGTGGATTGTGAAGTCGGCAATGTAAGTACACAGGGAACACAATACCTGGGAATATACAAGTTTCGCAGTCGATTCTTACGGCTGTTTTTTAAAGACCACATCCATCCATCCATCCATCCATCCACCCACCCACCCATCCACCCATCCATCCACCCATCCATCCATCCACCCACCCATCCTTCGTTTATTTAAGAATTAATAATGTCTTCCATCATATGTTTCTTGTTGTCTCAGGTCTATGGTCCCCACTTACCTCGTYTCTGGTACACCACTGATGCCTCTTTTTGCCAGACTGATGGGAGCACGGATAGGATCTGGCGTCTACTACAACACCTATTCTATCTGTGATTTTGACCTGCTAGAGGTTGGATCTGGTGTGAGTATCGAGGACCACGTGTCACTTGATACTCACCGGATCGACAGAGGAACATTGTTTCTGGGACGTATCATCATTGAARAYAACTGCTCCATTGGTGCAAGATCGTCTATCGCATTCAACAGTACAATCAAAAGAAATACACACGTCGAACCGCTGACCTTAGTGACTGACAACAGTAAGATTGAGGAGAATTCCCACGTTCATGGCTCCCCGGCTACGATCATTACGAAGAAAACCAGTGAACAGGTCTGTGAACCAAGACAATGGTCCTGGTCACGTTGGGTTACCTGTGGTCAAGTAGGGTTCCTTGCTTTGTATGGCGTCGTGTTTGCAGTTCCGTATGTTCTGGTTGTCATTGGTGATCCTGGCTGTGCCATATCTTAAAGATGCCTTCGCTAACCTTAGGGTAGATGTCATTGCCATGGTGATTCCAATCATTGCAGTCTTTGGTCAAACAACAAATCTTCTCTTGACCGCTGTCTTAAAATGGCTGTTCGTTCGTCGCCTCAAAGAAGGGGTTTTCTCCATTAACTCTTCTACATTCCTTTGTTACTGGATACAGCAAAGAATCATTATCATAGTCCTAAAATCAAGTAAAGAGCTCTTTGCTACTCTTTACACCAATCTATGGTTAAAAACCTTAGGAGTGAAAGTCGGGCCACATGTAGAAGTATCAACGGCCTTCAACTTTGTGCCAGACTTATTGGAGCTGAAAGAAGGAAGCTTTGTCGCTGATCACGTATCATTAGGTGGTGCTGTTTTCAAAGACGGTCACTTTTCCCTCACAAASACCGTCATTGGTCAGCGGACGTTCCTAGGCAACAACAGTGTCATTCAAGCCCAGTCCTTCGTCGGTGATAATGCKTTGATTGGTGTTCTGAGTRTCACACCTGATATWGTTGAMARCAAGACCTTCTGGTTAGGTTCACCGGCTTTCCGTCTTCCAGCACGAGCTCAAGCMWRCAAAGTCCATTCTTCATCACGTACCTTCAACCCACCTTGGTACTTGTATGTTAGTCGACTGAYATGGGAATTCTTCAAGATCTTTTCCCCGCCATTAGTTCGACTGTATGCTTTGTTTGGGATCTGGATGCTTGTTGCCAAGGTATCTTATCCTGTGTTCCAAGAAGGCACRCCACTGTTCTGGCTATCAGCTTCCTTTTGGACCCTAGGWATCGTAGTCTGTGTCTTATCTCTGGTCATCCTGCTAAAGTGGATTCTGATTGGTCGATTCCGTCCCGGTGAAAGACCATTATGGAGTAGCTTCGTGTGGCGGTCAGAGCTGATAGCTTCATTGGAGGAAAACATCGCAATGCCCTTTGGAGTGTCAGGCTTGCTCGGCACACCGATGGCCGCGTATTGGTACCGAGCGATGGGAGCTAAGATAGGATCACGTGTCTACATGGCCAGTAAATACCTGACAGAAGCAGACCTGATAGAGATAGGAGATGATTCGTGTATAGCCGCTCGAACCACTATCCAATCACATCTCTTTGAAGATCGAGTCATG